GATTGCTGCTTCCATGAGTGTTGATAGTTGATCCAAGAAGAATGAAGTCCTTGACAACTTTAATCTTTTCTCTGTTGATAAGAATGTTGTTTATGGGTCCAGTGGTGAGGATTTTTGTTTTCTTTACATTGAGATGCAATCCATACTGAAGTAGAAGGATGTAAATCTGTACCACAGCAGACTGCCACATCTTTTTCACAGAGATGCTGGTGGGTTTTAACCACCAACCTCTCTGTTAGCAACTAAGTACTTAACCACTGTGCCACCAGGCCTCCTAGATGTCACCTTGTTGTTGTTAAGTGCCATTGAGTCAGTTCCAACCATAGCAACCCTGTATATGGTTTCCAAGAAGTGGCTGCTAAGCTTGAACTGCCTTGCAGTTCAAACCAACCTTGCAGTCCAGCACATTAACCCACAATGCAACACTAGGATTCCAGATGTTACCTGTTGTTGTGAAGTGCCATCGAGTCAATTCCAACCCATAGTAACCCTGTATAGGGTTTGCAAGGAGCAGCTGGTGAGCTTGAACCGACCTTGCAGTTCAAACTGACCTTGCATTCCAGGGCATTAATCCACAGCGCCACACCAGTACTCCCAGATGTCACCTAAAAAGTGTCAGATCTAAGTTGGGGTATGAATAGACTGTGTCATTAAACAGAATTCATGTCCCATACAAAATTAAAGTAAGTACACTTTATTTTATTAAAGTTTTGGATGGAACAAAAGAAAAATGGTCTTATCTTAATCCGAAGAGTTCTTAAATTTAATAATTTCCCTGTGTTTCTTATTTATGTTGTTGTTAAGTGCCATCAAGTCAATTCCGACTCATAGCAATCCTTTACAGGGTTTCCAGGGAGCAGCTGGCGGGTTTGAACTGCCAACCTTGTGCCAAACTACAGTCCAGTGCTTATCCTACAGTGCCACACCAGGAGTCCTTCCTATTTATGTATATCTTATATTTAAGTGCCATTGAGTCTGTTCTGACTCATAGCAACCCTGTGTAGGGTTTCTGGGGGTTTAAATCTTCGCAGGAGGAGAAAGCCTCATCTTTCTCCCACAGAGCAGCTGGTGAAGTACCATGGACCTTATGCTTCGCAGTCCAGTGCTTATCATATGGGGCCACTGTGTATATATATATATATATCCCCTACAACTTTCTACTTCAAAGAACAGGAAACATTTAAATTGGTTTTTGGTTAACCCAAAGATCACATTTTATGATATCAGTAGACATTCTTTGAAGATGGTTTGTAATCCAAGATGTCAGCCAAGGTTCATTTCATGACTTTTAAAAGTAAACTATTTTGGGAAAGTCACACAAAAAAGGGTTTGGAAAATATAATTTAGTTTAATTTGGCTCTAATAAAAATAGCAAAACTAAGGAAATTAGGCTTCTAGAAATCCCCAATAGAAGTGTTTTATGGGATAAATGAATAGAAGTAAAAAGTGAGGCAAGTTTACCATCAGACCTCACGCTTTATAAACATATTGTCCCAAAGTAGGAACACACCCATTTGGACGGGTTTGCTCAACCAAAAATGAGTCACTGTTTGAGGAAGGAACAACTAAAAGTGAGAATGAAAAGGAGAGGTCAGTAATTTGGGGGCTCAATATAGTTTTGCAGAAGTTAGTGTGTTCTCCTTAGTCATGTGTAGTGTATAGAGCCTGGCTTGCCCGCCTAGTGGCCAATTCCTTCTGTGGAGACAGTAGACATTTTGAAGTTAAACCAAATGGATTCTGGTGAAAGTGTGTGAGAACCTTCTAGAATGGATCCTAGTCCTCCATAGGACTTTAAAAAATATCTACAATGGCAGTTCTGACCTGCCTTGAATATGTGTACAGTGTGTTAGCCCACATATGGAAGCCTACCTCTTTGACAGTTGACCTCAGATGACTGAGTGGGCCCCTCAAGTCCTCTTTAAGGCTGTTAAGAATCAAGTGTCACCATCAGTGCTGGCTTTGATCTGAACAGAGTAACAAAGCCTTGCTCCAGTAGGGGAAGTCATCTGTTCTCTGCTTCTTACAGGTTCACACTCTTAACAATCCATGGGTTCACTTCTCAGTTCTCTAGTTTATTAACAGAATTGTTTATATCGTTATAAACTCGTGTTTAAAATGTGCTGGTCTCCTGGCTTTAAATGCTGTATGCAAGTGTCCAGCTGGGCCTATAGAGGCAGGTCTCCAAGGGTAGTGTGAAGCTTGCAGATGAGTGTTGTACAGTCCCAGCCACCTTCCCCCCGCCCTACCCTCAGCAAGCAAATGTAACCAGGAACCTTTGTATTCTCCCCAACTACTTGCTGGCTGGTGTTGTCCTCCAAGATGAAAGAGAGTCTACTCAGCTACTACTGACTGCATGCTTTCCAATTGTGGATACAGTTAATGAGATCTGAGCTAGTGTGCATGTGTGAATTATATGTAGATTCAGGTACATAGAGGCTTCACAAAGTCTTGGGAAAAAATCCATTATCTTTCAATTCCATTGTCCACAAACCTTTGAAGCCCCCTCTTCCATTTTAAAGGGACAACATTCCTTCTTACTCATTGAATTGTCAGCCCAGAGATAAACTGTCATTTTCATCAATTTGATTGGATGATTTAGGGCTTTTCCAATTGTATGCAAGGAAATGGATGACTTGAGGGAGCTCTGACAGTTCAGAAGGCTCCTGGAGGTATGGTCATTCATTTGTGAATTAACCCTTGGACCCAGGTTTGTTGTTGTGAACCTTGTGATTCACAGTCTGCTGCTTATCCTACAGAGCCTCTGGGCTCCCCAGGTTCATTGTATTATCATTCAGATATATTTTAAAAGCCACTGCTAGTTAGTAGGTCCATTCTAACTCACTGTGACTCTGTGCCAAAACCAAATCCACTGCCATTGAATTGATTCTGACTCTTCATGACATATTGTAGAGGGCAGCTCCTTTGGTTTCTGAGACTATAAACCTTTATAGGAGCAGACAGTCTCATCTTTCTCTTGAAGAGTGCCTGATGGGATTGAACCATTGACCTTATGGTTAGCAGCTGACCACTTAACCAGTGTGCTACCAGGCTCCTTATTGTTCTATAGGACACAGTCCAGTTTGAATTCCCAATTTTTCCTAGCTGTTGGTTGGCAGTTTGAACCCACCAACTGCTCCTCAGGAGAAAGATGAGGCAGTCTGCTTCTGTAAAGATGTCCAGCTTTGGAAAGCCAATGGAACGGTTTTACCTCATCCTACAGGGTCACTATGAGTCAGAATCAACTCGATGGCTGTGGGCTTGGGTAGGCAGCAAAGTGGTCTCCAGAGCCTAACAAAGACTGGCAACTGCTCCATCCTGGGGCTCTGGGATGGGAGACTAAGCAGCCACCTAGGGCTTTCCACTTCAGTTAGGCTGGCTCTAGAGCAAGGCTGTATGGGAACAATACCCAAGCCTGGTCCAGTGGTTCCAGAAAGGCTAAGACTGAGGAAATGATGTAAGGACAGTTGGCAAGCAGCTGCTTCTCCCCAGTTGATTATGGCCACCGTGCCATGTCCTTCAGTGCTGCGAAAGGCCCAGCCCCAGCCCCTGACCAAGCAAAGTGTCTCACTGAGCTATGGACTGTATCTGCTTTTACCTCCTCTATGTAATTTTCCCTCTTCCACAAGTTTATAGTAGAAGTCTGTTCTCATCAATAGGATTTTCCATAGCTACACGGTCATTTTCTTTTTGAAATCGCTGCTGTTTTTTATCCTTTCTTATTTTAGTAATTTACTTGACTTAATTACTCTGTAGAATTCAGGCTAGACAAAGAGAACATTTATAATAATATTTATGTTTTAATGTCTTAAAATGGGAAATCTGTGGAAGAGTGGAATGTAAAGAAGGATGTGACAAGTGCAAATAGAGTTCTCCTGGAGGGGCTCTCTCTCTCTGTCTCACACACACACACACACACCTGTGGGTAACAGTCCTAGGCCTGCTACCCCCCCAAGTGATGAGTGTGTGGAGGCCTGGGGTAGTCCCACCACTGGTCCCATGCTGAAATAACTCTGGTGCCTCTACAGAGATCCTGGGGTTTAGATTGTCCACATGGAGGTTATGGGGATCCTCTTCTCATTTTCAGGAGACACATTTCCTTGTAGATCAGTGTTTACGCTGGCCTCCAATTTCTGTTTCTGATGCTCCCAGACATCAACCCAGCTCTGTTGGTAGCGTTCTCTTAGGATTTGCTGCCAATCACACCCAGACCTTACCAGATCCCTCACTGCCTACATAGACCCCCAGTAGCCATTCAAAGCCAGAGGCCAAGGATCCCTAGAAGAACTTCATGCCTGTAGAACTTCACTCCCTCCGAATTGTTCTACAAAAGCTACTAACCAATTAGTTATATCTAAAATTAATAGCTAGTTAAGTTCAGTTGTGCTCATTATAATTCAGATCGTTAAGCTGTAGATGTCGGTTATTAATTTGGTTTTGTTATTGATTTGTGGCTTAAGAAATCAAGTGTGTTAGAGAGGAGAGCTGCCCCACAGGGTTTTCTTGGCTGTGATCTTTATGGAAGCACATCACCTGACCCTGTGCCTTCCTTAGTGCCACTGGGTAGATTCAAACTACCAACCAACTTTTTGGTTACTGTTGTTGTTGTTGTTAAGTGCCAGCGAGTCGGTTCCAACTCATAGTGTCCCTGTGTAGGGGTTTCCAAGGAGTAGATGGTGAGTTTGAATTGCCGACCTTACGATTCAATCCAACCTTGTTGTCCAGTGCTTATCCTACAGTGCTATACCAGGACTCCTTTTGGTTACTTACTAATGGAGTGCCCATTGTTGACACGACCAGAGACCTTTAATCTCTGGACATTTGGACAGTTCTCTCTGAGGGCTGGAATAGATGCTGTTGGAAAGTCATTCTCACTGGAGAATTTCCACAGATATTGATGACCATGGTTGTGTGTAGTTGCCTATCAGTGTCATGCATGTAAGATAGCCCCTTGTTTCTTCCTCCTCTGGAACAATTCTAAAGGGCCTGTTCTCACCCTTCAGGTACATGCCTACATCATCAGTTACCTGAAGAAGGAAATGCCAAGTGTATTTGGAAAGGAAAACAAAAAGAGAGAACTTATTAGCAGGTTACCAGAAATCTACATTCTGCTGCAACGAGAATATCAGATTTCCGCAGGGGACTTCCCTGAGGTCAAGACCATGCAGGTAAGGAAGGGGGTGGAAATGCAGTGCCAGATTGTTGGGTTAGTTCCTAGGATCACATGACAGTCTCAAGGTTCAAGATCAAGAAATTGATTACAGTACCCACAACATAATAAACAGCTCTCTACCCACTTCCTTCCTGTGTTTACCATTTCCATTTGAACTTCTTTTGTATCCCTTCCTGCCTTCTGGGCTTTGGACAAATGCTGCCCTTTTGATCTTTATGGTGGTTCTCCCTGCTGTTATTGTTCAACCCAATGGTGGGGTGATGCTGATGGTGTGCCATGGAGTTGATTCTGACTCATAGCAACCCTGCATAGAGTTTCCAAGGCTATAAATCTTTACTGGAGCAGAAAGGCTCATCTTTTTCCCAAGCACTGGCTGGTACTTTCGAACTGCTGACCTTGAGGTTAGCAGCCTGATTTGTAACCACTATGTTACCAGAGCTCCTGTTCAAACCCTATAGACCTGTCTGTTGTTTGAGTGAAAGTTGATCCCTCGGCTGAGTTCAGTTCCAGTCCTGAAGAATGACCTAGGGCCATAGTCTCAAGGGTTCTACCTGTCTCTGTCAATGCTAATAAACCTGACATTTTTAATTGTTTCACATTTTCCTCCCTCTCTATCCAGGACCCTTTATTGTGATCCCTTTCAGAGTGGTCCCCCAAACGTTTAAACAAAAGTGAACACATAACCAAAGGAGGGAATTAAGTGTGTATCTGTTTGCCCCCATGAGACCAGAACTGGGTGGCATCTGGTTACTGTTAATGAATGTTTTGATCAAATATTCTATAGAAGAATCCTGGTCAAAAGGGGAGATAATGTGGAATAGAGTTCCTAATTCTTAATAGAATCCAGGCTTTATGTAGCTATTGAGCCTAGATGAATCCTTGAAATTATTGCCCTGAGATATCTTTAAATTTCAAACTTAAATCAAAGCTATCCCCTGAAATCTTCTTTGAACCAAAAAAGTAACTTATCTCAATTAGTAATATACGTCTGCTTTGAGCATTGTGTTCTTTAAGGAATTATCTGTGAGGTAAAATTAACAATGGCAATTGGGAAAGTTGGATGGGAAGCCTAGAGGGCAGAGAGTGTAAGATAACAGTGTTGGAATAATTTGGAAATGTGGTGTTAGGATGGTAGCACACCTAGAAGAATGTAATCAATGTCACTGAACTGTATGTAGAAATTGTTGAAGTGGTGTAGCTTTGCTTGTATACATTTGCATCAAAAGAAAAAACTTTCAATCAACAGGAAGCTCATAGCCAAGTACATGAAAAAAATCAGGCAAGCATTCCTCTTAGACTGTGTTCAAGAAGGTTGCTTTGATGTTGAGGCAATGCCTGTTTTTCAGAATCCCAGAACCTTAAAGGAATCAGAGCAACGTGACCTTCTGGTCACCTCCACTGTCCTTGAGCTCAAGCCTGCCCTGCCCTGGTGGGACTGTGAACTCACAGTGTTGCTGTCATAGACTCAGGAGGTTCAGTCAGACGCTGTGGGCCTCTGTGCACGTAGCTGGACTTTACTCTGTGCTCGTGAGGATTTTAGTGTAAAGGACAGTGCTGGGCAACCTTGAGCCTGGTTTCAGGGCCTTGCTCCTCGACATGTCTGGGCAGTACCAGCTGAATCTGGGTGGGTACTGCATTCAGCTGCCTGGCCTGGCCAGTGTGTCCTGCAGTGGAATTAGGATGACCATGGCATCTGAACAAGGCCGGCCCATCTGGCTTCTGTGTAGATGTTCCTCCTAGACAGACTGGCCACTCCTTGTCTCGTTCAGTGACCCATCTGCACTGCAGGCTTTAGTCCTCTTTGCAAAGCAGGCTGCACAGACTCACATGCAGCCGCCAGCAGAGGGCATGAGCTAGGGAAGCAACCAGGTAAACAAGAAACCTGCCACCCTCTCTGACTACCTGTGGTTTTCTCACATTTGAGAGAAATGTGGGTTCTGAGGAATCAGCTCTGCAAGTACAGGGAGAACTTGTGGGAGCCCATGAGAGGGGGACCGCTAGAGGGTGCACACCCCACCTCAGTGGGGAAGCTCATCCAGTCCAGTCCAGTTTGGGTACAAATCTTCAAAAAATACCAGGTAGGCCAAACAAAGCATGCCTGCATGTTGGCTTTAGCCTAGAATCCACCAGTCACTGACTTCTCCTGAGCTTCAGAGAGAGACAACCCTAATCCAGGAACCTGGGCCTCTGTGTTCCTGCTGGCCTCAGGGAGGGAGTATAAAGAGGGAGAGAGGTGAAAGAAGAGGAGGGAACTGCAAAGAGGAGAGACCAGATGATGTGGAAGGAAGGTTGATGGGTGGCAGGAGGGGGGAGCCTTTGATCCTGAGCTGTTTCTTTATTAATGTAAACTTTATATGATGTAAAGCTTCATTTACTGTAAAGTTTACACAGGAACATATGGGTGGCTAACTCTTAACATTTGGATGACAGCTTTGTACAGCTGGGTTGAGAGTGGATACATCTGGCTCATGTGATCTGGTCAGAAATGATGAGACTGTCTTCAAAATACAACAGCGTCTTTTCCAGAAATAAAATGGGTATTCCTGCACTCAGAGCATGAATTGGTGTATTTCTGGTAATGGGGGTGGCCAATTCAAGGGCTAACTCTGGCCTCCTGGAGACATCTCCTGCAGTGGATTCCCCCTACACATACTTGGGTTAAGCCTAGCACCCCGTGACCAAGCATTAGTACAGGAGGTTTTCCAACTTGAACTTTTAGGGAGCAATCCTCCCTTAAAGGAGTGCTGGTATGGAGCTGTGGGCTAATGTGCTGGACTGCAAAATCCTTTTGAACTGCAAGGTTGGCGGTTCAAGCTCACCAGCTGCTCCTCGAAAACCCTATACAGGTTCGTTGTGAGTCAGAACCAACTTGATGACACTTAACAACAAGCAGCAAGGTTGTAAATAAATGGACCAAGGGGCCAAAGTTAAGAATTCCTGCCCTGGAGGAGTTTACACTCTGGTTATAGTCTTTGCACGGACGATGCAGCTTGAGACAGCAAAGCTCACTTTGGTGACGTGCTCCTTGTCACAACACAAGTTGTACTGTGCTGCTGTTTAGTTGTTCTGTGTCCTCCTCAGCCTGAAACTCCCAGTGTCCATCCTGTTCATGCCAGTTCCCCAGCATCAAGGATGTGGTGGTGGTGGTTT